GGAATATAATAGGTCAAGTTGTAATTATGAGCAATCATATATCCATGATCAACCTAAGAGTGGTCATGCTCTTGGAATCAATGATTATGAGCCTAGTAGACTACTTCCTTGTAAGTTTATTAATCACAATTAGTTTGAGGATGCGGGTGACACTTGGTATGATCAAGACTTGATGGAGCATCGTTACAGGTTATATGAACCAACCTTTAGGAATGGTCACGGAAACTTTAAAAGGTCGGCTAAGGACACCCTAGAATTTGAAGACTAAATCCTAGTGCCTTCCTAGACTAGTTAGCAAGTACGGAAGACGACTTTAAGTGGTATGACATGAATGATGCTCAAAGAGTTTGATTTACAAAGATGAAGCTTGTAGGGTTTGCAAGAAAGTACTAGCAGAATGTAGAAAGAAACATTGAACGGTTAGAAATGAAGGCAAAGTTAAAAGAGAAGTATGTCCTAGTTCATTATTGGAACCAATTGTGTGACAAGTTTCTCAGTTAATAGCATAGCATAAGGAGAATCAATATCATTGATATGAGTATGGTAATTGTGGCCGATATGAATATGACAATGGAGATCATTATTCTAATTGTCCTCGGAATGAATATGTAGATCATTGTCATGAGTATGCCACCCATCACTATGATGGATATGCTAATTATTATCAACATGAGGAAGAAGTTGATGAGCAAAGCAACGATGACTCGTGGAAAGAGCAATTCATGGCTATGATGGATTGTATTCGACAAAGATGGAATTAAGAACAGGATGAATGGAATCATTGATGGGATGCCTCGAAGAATGTCCATCGACAACTAGTGAAGACTATTGACAGTACAGTGACAGGATATTATCCAATAGACAAAAAGGCATCAAAGGAGTCAACAAAGGTAGAAGCTCCTTTCTCGCATCTAGAAGTGATAGGAGCCCAGTCATTATAATTCAATGTAGCTACTAGCATCTTCCTCACAATAGGCTTCCATGAACACTTCAATAATGACTCTCATCTTTTTTTCAATCACAAGAAAGATCCTCCAAGCAATGATCAGGTTGTTGCTATCACACCAATGAAAGTGTCACCATCCCACATTTTGAGCATCAAATGTCAACTTTAGCATGCATCCCTTTTAATACAGGTTGCATTACCTAAGGTTGTCTCATCATCTAACAAGTCTCTCTTTGAATATCTTGCTTGTTGGAAAGGCTTTCTAAATGTTATCAATGAAGCTAACAAAGAAGTTATTAATAAAAGAAGAGAATGAGGCTAAATTGGAAGAAATTTCTATGAAATGTGAAAGCAAAAGTTCTGAATTGATTCAAGATTTTGGATTGATGGCCAAAGACATTGAGTCACAAGTTGTAGATATTCATCATGTTGGAAATCTTGACAAGATGGGTGTCCAAATTCATCATATTTCTCTTGCACATTACACTCCTATTCTTCAAATTCATGATAATCATGCTAGTCATTGTCCTAAAGAAGTTGTGGTTATGGAAGAGCATATATTGTTTTTCCATTTGATGAAAGCCTCTATAATTACCTTGTTCATTGGAAAGGTTTTCCAAATTGACACAATCATAATGCTCACTCTCTGCAATATCTCATTTTTCACTGCCTTATTTGCTGGTAAGGATTTCCGAAGTAGATGCCACTTGGAGGAATTTCCTGCTTTGTGTTCCATTGGAGTTATATCATCAACTTACTCTTTGGAGGAGAGTTCCTTCAAACGGAGAAGAAATGATAGAACATAAGAATACCTATATTAGAAGAAAGTTTCAAATTCATTATTTCTATGTAAGTTGGCTTTTCTCAATGGTTAAGTATTACCAAGTTGTCATTAACTTCCCTTCCAGTAAAGAAAATGATGGAAATTGCTCCAGATTTACTGTATTATTCAGCAAAATAGGAACTGATCCACAGGGAAAATCCTAATGGAGAGGATACAACCACCAGGGAACCCCGTAGCCTGGTGTATTCGAGAACACCACTCTCCTCACAATCCACTCATAATTTCCGTGCCCCCCTCCCATACAACTAACGGAGTCATATATGCATTCCCCATCCTAACTGTCTGTCAGATAATACCACAATTACGCTCGTCATGCAACTCACGCACACACCCTTATAAAATGGGCTACATTTGGTTTTGGGCTTTCTTTCTCACATATGTATACTTGGGTCCGCATTCAACAATACCCCCCCATGAAGGTTAGCCTTGTCCTCAAGGCGGAAATCGAGAAACTGTTGCTGGATTTCATCATATGATTCCCAAGTACTATCGCTGTCCGAGAGGTTGGCCCACCGAATAAGTAACTCAATCTGACCATCGGTAAGACGATGGTGCTTCAGGACAGCAACTGGGTAAACCTGAAGTTCCAGGTCGTTGGTCAAAGATGTCGGCATGGGCTGAGGAACCACTGAGGACGCAAGGGACTTCTTGAGCTGCAAGATGTGAAAAACAGGATGTATCTGTGCTTCGGCCGGCAGTTGCAAGCGATAGGCCATAGAACCCACACGTTCGACAATAGGATATGGACCAAAGAATCGAGGACTCAGTTTCTCGTTGGGTTTCCGAGCCAATGATTTATGGCGATAAGGCTGTAGTCTCAAGTAGACCATATCAAAGAGGGCCATTAACATCTCATAGGTGTTCCCATAATGTGATGGATGGAAACGGAGAATCAGGTCCCGCTTTAGTTCTTTCCAGTTGGCCATCGGTGATCGAGCCTCCTTCCACTGGAACCAGTTCAGGGCCCGTCCTTCAAAACACAAAACTGCAGCGTCCAACTTGTCACATTCCTGTACTTTGTGTACCTTGAAATATCGTTCGATTTTGAAAATCTAGCCCATTGGTTCATCCTCTGAAAACAGAGGCATATCGAGTTTTCTGTAAGATGAAGGAAATGATTCATCGTTACTGTCCTTATCGTCAATCTCAACGACCTTGATTTTCTGCTCCGAACCGCCATCTTTCGAGATAGCTAAACCACTTGGTTCGATGGAATCATCCGGTTGATTGCTCTGATTGCTCTGACCGTCTGGGCGTTTGCTCGAACGTAACTCGGTCAAAACCTCTGACATCATCGTCTTGAGGATTGCTACCTCATCACATAATTGCTCTGCCTTTTATTCGTTCGAAGTTATATGGGAGGTGACGTCTTCCATTTGATTGTCCCGTCGTGTGTAGGACTCGCGATGCTCTGATACCTTTGATGGAAATTGCTCCAGATTTACTGTATCATTCAACAAAATAGGAACTGATCCACAGGGAAAATCCTAATGGAGAGGATACAAATACCAGGGAACCCCGTAGCCTAGTGTATTCGAGAACACCACTCTCCTCACAATCCACTCATAATTTCCGTGCCCCCCTCCCATACAACTAACAGAGCCATATATGCATTCCCCATCCTAACCGTCTGTCAGATAATACCACAATTACCCTCGTCATGCAACTCACGCGCACACCCTTATAAAATGGGCTACATTTGGTTTTGGGCTTTCTTTCTCACATATGTATACTTGGGTCCGCGTTCAACAGAAAATTAACTTGGATTTTGCTTCTATATTTTATTATTAAGAAGTTGTCATCAAGTTTCCTTCTAGTGGAGGAAGCCAAGTTTGATTTTGCTTCTATATCTTGTTAAGAAGTTGTTATCAAGTTTCATTCTAGTGGAGGAAGCCAAATTTGATTTTATTTCTATCAAGTTGTCATCAAGATTACTTCACAAAGAAGGAAATCTTGATTTATGAATAAGAAGAGTAGGAAGCATATGTAGAAGAAGACGTTGGATGGAATGAAAATTTGAGTTTACTAAATCTCTCTCTCTCTCTCTAGATTCTCTCACTTCCTCCCTAAATTTTATTCTATTCTCCCTCAACTTCTATTCTCTCCCCCTTGATTCTGTTCCTCCCTCTCTACTCCTTCTCCCGTCTTTGTTCTACATTTCTCTCTCCCATAATCTCTTTACTTTTCTTTTCCCTTCATCTAAATTACCTCTGTTTGCATTAAATCTGAGTGTGTGTGTGTGTGTTGCATCACCATATCTTCTCAAAACTTATCTTTAAGATGTGCTACTGTCACTACCTAAGGTGCATAGGCGCCAATGATATCGATAATATCCTTTTCAACAATTAATCTTAAAGATATTATTCTGTCTTCAGTCCTTTTATCCTCCACCATATTCTTCTTTCATGCTCCATCAATGATAATACCAATGACATTTCTTGTACTCATTTTTCCTGTGTATCAAAGTTTAAACTCTCCAAATTCCTTAGAAACTCCTCCAACCCATTTACTTTCTTAGAGGCATAAGATGTTAATCCTTCTGTTCTTCATAACTCTTACTACCTCCATAGATTTCTCATTCCAAGTCCCAATATTCTAATTGCCAAATGTAGTCTTGCTCTCATGAACTAACTTTTTTATCCACCTTCGTCCAAAAGATTGCGGCAGCCCTTGTCCATTTAACACTATATTCGGGCAATAATGTAGTGGCTCTAACTCACTTCTCACTGTACTCGAGTTAGACAGTATGTTACTTCCAGGCAACGACCTAGCAATAACACAATTACTTTGTTGATCCATCTTCATAGAATTCGACAGAGTTTTCCTTTATTCGGGCTTGGGACCTACTATACCACATAGGCGGAGTTATAATCAAATAGGAGAGAGAGGAAGGATATTAAGAAAGATGATTATGGTGTTTTAGGAAAAACATATCATATTTCTTATAACTAACTAACTTACCTAACTTTCTTAATCTAATTAAATTAATTAAGTAGGTTTTACATTAAGGACTAGAAGAGTACTTTAGATAAGTGATATTTCATTAGGCTTTTTATAAAACTCATGTTATCTATGGATTTTAAGATTCAACTTTGATGAATATTTGACTTTGGTGGGTACAATTGTTATTAAAAATTTAGTGACAACTAATCCATGAGATTATTTCTTTTTGTACCTGGATGGATGTGTGTCAACTGGTTTTATTAACAGACAGGATGGAGATGACATGGTGAAAAGGCACACTGGTGATTGCAGAGAGAAGTTTGAGTTTGCTGAAGGCAAAATTGTATGTCAACATCAACCTTGTTGACACTTCAATGCTGGATATCTTGTTTCCACAGCATTGATGCATTGTATTTTTGCCTACATAATGTCATTATTTTCTGCAGGTAGAAAAGGTTCAAGGCCATTCTTTGTGCCCTGAAAGTGAGTTGAATATTTATTATTCATACTGGATGTAAAATTATCTGAGACAACATCAATAAAAATATATGTAGCTATTCCTGATGATGGATATTTTGTTTAGTATGTACAAATTCATTTGTATATTTTGTACTGTACAATGGTATACAATATGCTGGGTTCCTTGGTGGAATTTTTATGTCATGCTATTTTTCTAGCCTGACATTGGGAGAGAGATTCTTCTGAGGAAAAAATTTGGTTCAGTGCTTTCTCAATTTATCTCTCAATTTTTATCACTGGACATGAATATAATAAAGGGGAACATAATCATTTAGTCCTTATAGTTTTGACCAAGTTAAAAGTCATTTAGTCCTTATAGTTTTGATCAAGTTAAAAGTCAGTCTCTAAACTGACTTGGTGCAACTCAATCCTATAGTTGTAACCATTTGAAATGTTAGTCCCTAATTTTTAGAAAATAAAATGATAGAACCCTCTCTTAAACAGAGCTGATAACAAGACTAAAACTTGAAATAGACAATAAAGAGTGGACAATAACTCGAGACTGATAACACTATACTGCATAGCTAAATCAGATTACAAGGGATATGATGATTTAAGACAGACCATATAATCAAAATAATGATTTCAAATTAATGACAAACAACACAGACACACAACACAATGGCTCTGGACTTTTGACTACACTCAACTTTATTTTGACTACACTCAACACAGACATACAATTAATTCCCAGTCCTCCCTACACTCACGTCTCAAAGATCCCCCATCCTCCAAAAAGTGACTCTCATAGTCCCCAACTTAACCCTTTCCTAGACTTTGACTACAACAACGCTATAGGTACCCTACTCTATTTCTCTATCCAAAATAGTAGGAATCCGCAAGTCAAAGTTCTGCCTAGCAGAAAGTGGTTTTCCTCTAGGTACCCAACTTCTCTATTTCTTTACCAAAAATAGTAGGAATCTCCAAGTCAAAGTTCTGACTAGCAGAAAGTGGTTTTCATTTTTCATGTATCTCCTGAAGTTTCCTTTTTCATATCTGAGCATCAAAAGCAATTCTATCATAAAACTATAAGGACTAAGGTTATTCCTTAAATATTAGGGACCAATGAATTAAACAGTTAAAGCTATAGAGGCTAAGTTGCATTGATGTAAAGTTCAAGGTCTGAATTTTAATTAGGTCAAAACTATAGACATTGAATTGCATTAAGTCACAGTTCAAGGTAATTTTCTCCACAATAAATTATATGTGCGCAAGTGTCTCTATTTTCTTTTCTTTTCTTTTGTTCTTTTTTTTTTTTTTTTTGGTTTTTTTCGCCAGTACCAACTGTAATTAAAGGCCTGGTGCATGGTATCTTGTATTATTTTAATTTTTTTGTCCTAGAATGAACATGAGCGTAATGCTTTCTTAGTTCTGTTTTTCTTGCTTATTTAACTCCTTGCTATTTATGTTGCAGTGGATGCATGTCCTGGACAAATAGAGTTTGCTGATCATGGACAAGCATACATGACGTTGAAACCTTCTGGGAATGGATCATACTGTGCTCCAGAATCTGTCAAAGCTAATGATCAGCGTCTTGAGAAGTCTAATTTAGCCAACTCTGCTGCTACTGATACCACTAAAGTTGCGGATCATGTCTCAGGGTCGCGTAATATGTCACCAAAATCTGTACCAAGTAGTACAGAATCAATGAAGAATGCTAAGGTAAGTAAGTCAATATGATTTCTGCCTTCATCTGCTGGTTGAAAGGCTCCCCAGGTTGGAGATGCGAGGTCTAATTATGTGTGCAAAAGGTATCAAGTGCATTTCCTTGTCATATCAACCAATAGATCATCAATCAAATTACATTATATCACCTACTTTCTCACTTATGCTATTTCTGGAGACACTTGGATAAATGATCCATTGCCTTCTTGTTTTCATTTTGATACTTCAACATCTTTTAGCCAATTAAGTAACCTTTTTGAAGATTGTAGCTTTAGTGGACAAAGTAGCACAACAGAGTTTCTTGTTAAAAATAATATGACAATTGTTTGCGGCTTGTCAATGAACTCCTAACTATGTTTCGTTTCTGAAATTCTTTTAGGAATTCAAGCTGAACCCAGCTGCCAAAGTTTTCTCTCCATCCTTTGTAAATCCTACTTCAGTTACTCCTACTGGGCCAACTGTACCAGCAGTTGCAAACATGGCTTACTTACCAAATTCCTCTTCCGTTGTACCTATTGGTGCTATTCAATCAGAAGTTGGATTCAATACTCTTTTGTCTCGGCCTTCTTTGCCTGTTAAAGTGGCTCAGTATAGTAATGTGACAGCTGGCAGTGGCTCTCAATTCACCCAGCCTGTATGTTTTGTTTTTTTTTTTTGGTTAATGTTTATGTGCATCAAAATGTGCCTGCAAGGGCGTTTATTTTTCATGTCTAGTGTCACAAGTGCTGGTACGGTTAGAAATCATATGTTACTTATTGTTTCTATTTTTCATCCTTATTTGTCTTCAGATTTTTGAACAACTGACACATCGGACACAACCACTGAGATATGCTGCACATTATAATCCTGTTTTTTCTGAACCAACTTATATGCAACCAAGCTCTCCTGCTGTAAGTAGAAAATTTATCTGCCATCTAACTTTAACTTGTCCTGCTTATTCCTTTGCTCAAGACCATCTATATTCATTTGTTGAACAATTGGCCATCAACAAGATACCCCCTTTCTATTTGCAGGTTGTGGTTGGGCGTTCAGGGCAGTTTGTCTATGTCCATCCTGTTACTCATGTAAGAAAGAATGGCTGGATAACTATAACCCTTTTCAGTTGGAACTTTCATCAATTTAATTAACAAAGCTAAGGTTAAGTCAAGAGGACAAAAAAAGAAACATTGAGAAATTACAAAAAGGATTAGAATATTATCGATAATGAGTGCTTCCCCTGCTAAAACACAAATATGAATCGTTTATAGAGTTTTATCATTTTCCATCATTCCATATGTCAATAATTCAATTCAATATATCATATAAAATCTCTAGGAAGCCAAGGGCAGGAATAGCGTCCGTATGGAGATGGGGCCAGCATCTAGTTTCTTAAAACATTAATTTTCCTTCAGAATTGTTTGATTGTATTATTTAATCATCCTGTGCTACTTTTATTTTTGTGATTGAAGGATCTGGTTCATGGTGGTACGGCTATCTCACCCGTCTCACCACGCACTGTGTTAAATATGAATCATGTTCAATTTCCAAAGCAACAAGGTAAAAACGTCATGGTTTTGTTCAATTAGGAAAATATATCTTTTAAATCAAATAATATCTAACTGCAGTATCTTTATTGCCGTTTTCATTATCATTAACTTCATCTTTTCTGTTAAATGACCCTCAACCACCATATCACTTGAAAAAATGTTTAAAATTTAAGGCTGGTTCATACAGCTATTACAAAACACTTTAATCACGCTGCCGATTAGTGAAACTAAATATTCTGCTCCCGCAAGAAGGACATAAGTATAATTTCTTTCGGAATTGTGGGTATCTTCTAGGTTGTAGTGTGTTGGTAGGAGGATGAAGGGGGTGTGTTTGAACCTTTGTTACATGGGTTATTCACCTAGTTCAACATCTGGAATATTACTACTAATTAAGCAGAAGATTCAAAATGGCTAAAACTCTTGGACACTCGAGATAGCTGGCTTATGTTGATAATCAAGTGATGTTCCTTTTGTACTCATAGCTGAAGAGATTCCAAATTTTGTGCTACTTACCCCTGTTAGATTGCGTCTTTATGCCATTGCAGGTCACTATTTTTTGGGGGCTTTTTCCAATATTTTCCCGCCCATTTTTGTATTGTGCATATGAAAGTAGCAGTTCATCTAATTGTCTGCAAGTCTCGTGGAAAATTTTCAGATTTAGAGGCCATGACATTGACAAGACATGTAGAAAATAACGCATTTGTACAACTTTTGCATCCTTATTGGAAAAGATAAAATCCGCTTTTGTTCTAATTGTTCTATTTTTGAAGCAGGAGGCACAGGGGGTCAAGTGATGCCGCTTTGTGTTCCCTCGCCTGTCCTAGCAACTGGGCAGCAGCCCTTCGCATTACAAAACCACATTCCAGTTTTGCAACCTTCCCTTCCGGCAACTCGACCTGTTCCAGTCGTGGGGCCGAATGGTTTCTACGGCACTAAATTTTGATGAAAATTTGGATTTTCTTTCGCTGTGTTAGTGATCCTATCACTTCCACTTATTTGTTTCTTTTTAACTTTTTCTTTGATTTAAGCTCTTCATAGATTCAAATGTGGCTTCGTTCCTCCTCTTATAGTATCAAATTTTGTTCCTTTCTTTCCACGTCCTCTCTTTATTAGAAGTGTACAGTTTGCTTGTCCTAGCCATATTATGAGATATATTGTGAGAGGAAAAGCTGTATTGAGGCCTGAATTTAAGGGGTGAGGTTTTAATTTGTCTATGAAATTGAGTAAAGCTTCTCCGTATGACATAACATGTTTCCCAATTGAATTAGAATGAGTCGATCACAAACGAAAGTATGTTCTATTTTCAGCAGATTGATCTTAATGTCATATTTTAATTCATTTTTTTTTGGGAGTAAAAGATCTTAGTGTCATATTTTAATTCATGTGAATTCATCATGGCTGTTTATTTCTTGGTGGTTTTATTTTGTTTATCATCTCATCTTATGCACTTGATCGTTTGAAACAGATTGATTGAAAGTACATCCATAACACCTGTTTAGATATTTAATTCTAGTTTTTTTTTTATTCAATATTTATTGGAAACATATCGAACGATAGGCCACATTGCCGTGACACACTTCTGATCATTACTTTAATAAGTGACTAAATTATATAAAAATTTAAACTGTATGTAAATAATCTTTAACATTTGAAACGTCATTAAAAAAAAAGTTCAATGAATTTTTATATTGCTGCCGATAATTTCTATATTATTTGTTATCTTCTTGATTTATTTGTAAATGTGTTAAATTTTAAGAGGTTTATCTGTGTGTAACTCAAAAGTTTGAAAGGGTTGCATGTGTATAACACAAATAAGTTTTTGAAAGGTTAATGAGGTTATTTACATGTAGTTATAAATTCATGGAAGTTTCATGTAATTTAGCATTTATGATCAAGTTTAAACCAAATTTGTCGGCACTCACTTTTTGGTATTTTTATGCTCTAATTTGATGGGGATACAAAATGTGATGGTTCTAGTTTGCTTTGTGTAATTTTATTTCTAGTTTCCAATATTGACCCTCTTCTTGCATGTAATTGAAAACAACGACCGAATATGACCCTCGTTTGACCATTTCTCTATTATTTTAACGTTTAAAATGATTTTTTTTTAACCAACGGATACTGTGGAAGAGGCAAGTTCTTCACAATGTAATGAATTAATATTTGAATTTCTAGTGGCAATGTCTAATAGTGTCTCAAACAGGTCTCCAATAAGAAGATACTTGTGTCCAAAAATTTTTTTGTGTGACTAAATTAGATATTTTTGTGTATGATATTTTTCCACATAGATAGCAAAATGAAATAAATGGAAAAGGTTTGATGACTAATGAACAAATAACATAGTAGAAGATCGTCATGCTTTTCGTCGACTTTGCTTTAACAAGACAATGCTTGAGGTTCTACTAAGTCCTTTCAAGTGTTGTTTTTTTCTTTTCAAATGAAGGCAAAAATATTAATGATAAAATGAAGGGAAAAAAACAAGAGATAAAAACAGAACAAAACAAGTCTGACAAAGCTAATATTAATACTACTTAAAAAAAAAAAAAAGGAAAGAAAGAAAGCATGGAGACATATACGATGCAAACTCAGTCTTGCACCTCCTGTTCGATGACTATTGTCCGTAACCCCATTTCAAAGCAATACGGAGGCATTGTGGACTGAAGAGCTCGTCGTCAGAGCAGCATTGAAGTCCTGTGAATATTAGTGGAGAGGGTGACCGTAAGAAGGCCTTCCCTCCTCGCTTCTTGGACAATGTAACATCCTAACTTTTGAGCTTAGAAGTACTAGAAATAGCCTGAATAGGTCCCAAAGATGAGAAAGGAAGTCAAAGCAGTTTCAGGGACTAAACTGCAAAGTAAAAGTTTTCAACGGTTAAAGTATAATCAAAGATAGAGGCTCTAGTAAAGTCTCAAAGGTCCAAAAAGAGAAGAAAAAAGAAGAAGCTAGAGACAGGTCAAAGGTTAAGTTAGAAACTTCAAAGAGATGGTTTTATGAGGTTGATAGTGATACAGAGATTACAGAGAAAAAGCCCAGATGGAGTTGATAGTTGATAGTGATATATCCTCTATCAATGGTATTAGAAATGTTGGGCAGACAATTGTTCTGGTACGAGCAATGTATTCTCCCACGAGGATAAATCCTAACATGAGGATAGAGAGAAGCAGCTGAGGTAAGGCAGGGGATAGACCTTACCTTAAGGAGAGTGAAACTAGTTAAGAAAACAGAAGTGTGATATGCAAACAGATGCTTCTCGAGCTTAACAGGGTAATATAGGATAGTGAAGGATAATGAGAATATAATGATATAAGTCCTCTCCCGATGCTATCCAAATTATTAAGAGATAGCAAGGACTGCAGAGTCCTAAGGCAAGATAGGTTGGCATTGATACAATGACAAGTTAATAGGCTATAGAGATGAGTCAGTGCCTAGGGATTTAAAAGGCACAAGGAAGAGAAAGTGGCCTAAGGAATTTAAAACTAAGGGCTAAGGAAATATGGAAAGGCTAAGACATCCAGGAATTAACGGAAAGGATTGAGTAAAGCCTAAGAAGACAATATTGATATTTGTGCTCAGTCTTGGAGAATAATCAATCAAGTTACTAACTAAGTGGAGGTGACTTATTTTATTACTCAATCCTATGATCTAAAGTCTCCTGGGGATGGGAACATGGCTCGAGTCGAGGGAAATTCCAGGGTCACGATGGATCCTAAAGAGGCTTACAGTAGAGCGTAGTAGCTCCCGAGGTCATGGTAGACCAAGCGTAAGAGAAAGTGGCTGAGTTGTAAAAGTAAGAGTACAGTACCTCTTTGGGAAGACAATGACCAGGGATTAGTTTAAGATACAGAAATCTCCTTCAGTAGTAGACCAATACAGAGAGAGTACCCTTGAACTGTTTCCAGACACCTTTATTGTTGATTGGATTGAGTTCAATTCCGTTCTAATCAATGAAGGAAAGTGAGAAAAGTAAGAATTAAGAGAACTATGGGCCATAAGTCTTGAATGGTACGTACGTATTCAAGCAAGCTAAATTTGAAATGAGAAGGGAAAAGAAAGGAGACATGCCCTTAAAGTAAAGAGGAATGGTAGGATATACCAAAAAGAACAGATAAAGGCAGTATTAAAAAAAACTCGAAATGCCATGGTATAGTAGAATACCATGAGGACAAGTACATTGTCTTGGCTTTATTATGAAAGAATAAGCCTAAAGTATAGAACAACAAGTTATGCAGAAATGAATTTCAGGATTTGAAACCTGGCAATGAGGTATAATGAAAAGTTGAAGAGGCTAAAGTTAAGTATAAGTGGGACTATTCTCCTCAGTCAACCTCTTATTAAGGGTAAGAATAGAGGTTTGACTCGGAATTTCAAGGACGAAATTCTTTTAAGAGGAGGAGAATCGTAACATCCTGAATTTAGGGCCTAGAAGTAACAGAAATAGCCTAAATTGGATAGGCTACTAGACCCTTTTTAGCAGAGGTCCCAAAGATGAAAAGAGAGGTCAAAGTAGTTTCAGGGACTAAACTGTAAAGTAAAAGTTTTCAGGGGCTAAAGTGTAATCAAAGACAGAGGCTCTAGTAAAGCCTCAAAGGCCCAGAAAGAGAAAAGAGACTAGAGAGGCAGGCCAAATGTTAAGTTAAAAGCCTCAAAGAGATAGTTTTATGAGTTTGAGCTCAAGTAGGAGTAAAACTATAAATTCAGGATACAAGGTTAGTTTTATGTTCTACTTTGTATTTTTGAGTTTGATGGCTAAAAAATGTCGAATCCCCTAAGGGGAGGTGCTTGCCAAAATTTATAAGAAGTAAGGAAGGATGCTTTTGATGTTAAACTTAGTTAGAACACATTGATTACAGGTTGTTTCAAGTGGATCTATGTTGAAATTGGAAAAATTGTATGATATGGTTGTGGGTGTAGTGTTTGGCCAGGTCTAGTTATGCACCCTAGGATGTGATTTTGATGATTCTAAGGCTTCCAATTGGTTTAAAATGAAAAATGGTGTAGGCTAAACCTAAAGAACAAGCATTGGAAGCATTAGAATTAGATTTTTATTAATCTAAGCTCATATTTGGATTCCTTGGGTAAAATTGTGTAGGATTGGCCTAAGAGAATAATTTTTACAAAGTTAGAACATTAATCCAAAAATTAAGAGAAAGAGGTTAAGTTCAAGAAAGCTAGTCTTGAACTTTATGTAATCTCTTAGTCCTAATGGATTGTGTGATCATTATGACTATGTTTAGGTACTTGGAACATCTAAAAAGTTGTTTGGTGATATTGAACGAAAGCCCTTATGGTTGGAAAGTCGAGGGAGTCAAAGGAAAAGCAAAAAGAAAGCTTGAAGTATAAGGTAGTGAACTTACCCTTTATGTGCTTGATGTGGTATGCTTATGTGTTGGTTTGTATTTGTTCACTTTATGATATTGTGACATAATGATTGTTGCTGGAAATGTTGCCCTTAATATGTTTCCATGGCCATGTATTTTTATACGAAGCATAAAGCATGATGGCATGTCACTAGTTAACCTAAGTTTATGGAAAAATTACATACCATACATTAGCATCCATCTTGTGCATGTATGTGGTAATGTTTGCTACTGAGATTCTTTCAAATCTCACCCCTCCCTAACCAACCATTTAAATCAATCAATGATGGGTAACAATGGCATGAGAAGGAAGGAGAAAAAGGTGGTGAATTATTAACGTTAATGAATGAAGTTAATGTTCAATGTATAATTCTCCTATTTTGTAATTTATGCTTATAAATGCCAACAATGCAATGTGTTTAATTGTAATATTGATGGCATGAATGGAAATGTATGAGAATGATGGGAAAAGTAAAGCCATGTATACCAAATTAATAGAAAGAATCAAAGTAAGAAAAGGTAAAGAGGAAACGTAGGTTCTAGAGCAGTTAGTTTCGGATTTCAATTTGACCTACCAAATGAATGAATCAAGTCACAAAATTTGGCAGACTTATAGTACACATCCCCAGCTTTAAAATAAGAGGAAGATCACCTCAATTGGATGTGTACACGAGTTACGAATTTCCAAAATTGAGGTACAGAATCTAAAAGTTTCAAAATTTACTAAATGAATAGTAACGTTTAAGGAATAAACTATATGAATTGGCAAGGGATAAGTCCCATTTGATATTTTTTCCCTATATAGAATCGAAATAGCTTTGAGTAGAATTTTAGAGCACCTTAATGCGATTTTTTTAGAATTAGTTATGATTTTTTGAAGTTGGACCTATAATTTGAAATTTAAACAATGAATATTAATCCACATAATTATGT